AATTTATATTCAAATTTTCATTCAAATTTATATTCTAATTTATATTCAATAATTTATATTCATTAATTTATATTCAAATTTTTATTCAAATTTATATTCAATAATTTATATTCAAATTTATACTCAATAATTTATATTTAAATTTATATTCAACAATTTAATTTTTGTTAATAAAAACGAATTTTAAATGATTTCTTTATTTAATCATTTCAAATGAGAAATTAGCAAATGAACATTTTTAAATTCAACTGGTCAGAAAATAAACTGCTCAATTAGCATTTCTCGAAATTGCAAAACAAAAAAAATACCTGTAATTTTACTATCTCCAAACAAACAAAACATTTTAGCTGAAAAAATTTCTATTAGAGAAATCGTAAAAATTTTATTTTGAAAGAAAAAAAATTTCAGGTAAATTAAAAGTACGTTTAATAAAAATACCATACAGGTGCTCTTTATATGAAATCTAGTTTTCTCATGTAAATATCCAAATTCATTGGTTTCATTTCGAATTTTACCTCTGTCAACAAAATCATTTCAAAAAAAACTTTACCTAATGTTTACTTAGTAAGTAATAAGAATGGAAAGGAATATTTTGTAGTGATAGAGTTTTGGTCATTAGATGGACAATTGAATTTTTGAACAAAGAAAGCGTGTAAGAGGAAAAATTAACTTTCACGTAGTTAGGTGATAGAGGTAGTAGTAGTAGCACTACTACTACTAAAATTTCTACCATTTCTACCTCAGCTATTTCATTTTGGTGCAGTTCCACAGACGAAGAGATTATCATCTTGCAAGACATATATATATATATATATGTAACCATTGAAAGTGATGACAACAGCTACAACTGATACATTGCTATGCAGATCGAAACAGAAGTTTATACATGCGCGCATAGGTAGATTTTTATTACTAAGACTAGTTAGGTTAAGTTAACAATTACAATTGAAAAACTGGATATTTAAATCACGCCTTCTTTTTTGAACTGGATACAGGTCAGCCGATTGACTAATTTGCTTTATAAAAGTTTGAATCGGTTAGCTACAATCATTCAAATTCATTTCATATTTCACCTTGAAAATACTTTAAATTATTTCATCAGATTTAATTATTTAATTATTAATTATTTAATTTAATTATTTCATTAGAAAATATACTTTAAAATTTTATGATTTTATAATTTGAAATTAAATAAGAGAGGGAATTAATTGTATTAGAATTTCAATTATATTTCGAAAATTTAGCATTACAATATTTTTCAAATTTCTTGGTTTCTTGGCTTCTTGGCTCAAATGCTAGCTGTAGCAAATCATTTTCTATCAACAAATTATTGTGATTTGTTGAAAAAAAAGTGTCTTATTTCTAGTTGGTAGTAATAGTTAATTTTATCTGATTAAGATACACATCTAATTTTTAACCTAAAATTTTTATCTTAATTCAAAATCTATTAATTTTAATATAATCAATTTTTTTTATTCGACTTTTAATTGATTGTTTCAAAAACAAACTGATAATACATATTTTAATTACAGTATATTGTCAGAAATCAATAAATAATCCAATCGATATGTGTTACATTTGTATGAAACGTAGAAAATTTTTGTAGGATCATTTAAAATATATTTTTGTTCAAATTACCAGAAATTTTAATTTTGAATTAATGATTTCTCTTTTAGCTGACCAGTCAAATATGTTTCATCTGATATTTACTATCATAGTTTTTGCATCTAAACAATGTAACGGTCAGTTAGGTTATGGTGGTAATGGCTACTGTTCTACTTGTACACTAAGTAATAGTGGTTCAATCTTGCGAGGATTCGGTTTTGGTGGTGGTAATTATGGTATTAATTTAATTTTTCCTTTTTTTTAAATTTCACATTTTAATTTTGCGGATTACGATAGCTATTGATATGATTTACTGTATTTCTTTAAGATTTGTTAGGAGAAAAAAATGTTTATAAAATTTAGGAAGCTCATCGAATACCGGAAATTCAGATTTAACTTCTCAAAGCTTATATTCATTACCCACAAATAATGCTTTCATCGTACCAAGCAATAGCTATGGCTATGGTACGAATGGCTACGGTACTGGTACAGGTTATGGTGGCGCCCAAACCAGTAATACTGCAAACTACGGTTCCCCATCTACGGTATGTCTTTAAGAAAGTTAAATTATAGTTTAATCTGATAGTTTTTTCTACATTTCATATATAAATTATTTATTCAGTATTTAGTAAGAAAAAATTTTATGTTTTAAATTTTCAAGTTCTCAAATTTTTCAGGCCGGGATGACTTGGAACAACGCTTATAGTTCTATTGGAAACTATGGGACCAGAAATGGATATATCAATTGCTACAATAATAATTGTATACCAAGCTCTGGGTATAATGTAGTTCCTAGTGCATCAGCAAGCATTGGTACAGGTTATGATATTTCCGGAAACAACGCTCTCTACAATTCCTATTCTTCGTTACCAGACACAAACTATAAAACTTACTCATTTCCTTCTGCTTATAGTGTATACTCTAATTTAGGATCACTTCTTAATACCGGTAATAGCAATTCAGCTTTGGAGACTAGTTATTCATTACCGGCTACTTACACTAGCTATCCGACCGTATACGGTAGTTACGATAATCAGGGAAGCGTTAATTCTCCGAATAATTTGAATTACTTCAATTATCAGCGAAATCGTCAAATAACAGCTGCAGATGATGCTTCCGTAATGGAAAAATCTTCATCATCGTCTACCTCGATTTCATCATAATATGTTGAAATTAATTTATTCATAAAATAATTTATTGTAAAGGCATTTTTAAATAGTATTAAATTTTTTGAAATCCTTGTTATTGACAGAGATAATATTCTCAAACTACTATATTAGCTATTTGTATTATCCGCCCAATTGTTCTATTTAATGAATAGCTACATGCTTACAAAGGAGATCTACCGTATGCGGAAATAAAGAATGAATATTTCGTTATATAAGATAATATTATCTCGGCTAATATTATGATCGGTTAACATTATCTCATATCCATTATTGTGGCTAATTTTCTGATTTACCTGTCTAGTAATTTAATTTTTTCTATTTCTATTTCTTAATTATTTACTTTTCATTAAAGTTTATTTCAATAAATATTACTTTGAGCCAATTTGCATCAAATATTCACCTTAAAATTTGCCTAATAAACAAATTAATTGTCTTATGAATTACATTTGTATGCGAAGTTTAATTATAATTTAGTTTGATAGTTTGAGGAAAGCTTTGTAAATGCTTGAAATATATCAGATTACTACATTTTTGTTTTTATAATAAAAATTCAGAGGTATTATTTGAAATAGGTTTATTAACAAATAACTCTATTTATAATTGCCAATTCATATGACCCATATTAATTCTTATATAATCAGCACTATTACAATCAAATATTCTATAACTTTTGTTATGCTAAATAATATCAGCTGTTTTTAGCAAATTAGCAATTTCAGTAGAACTAAATAATATTTTCAACAAACTGATAGTTTGTATTTAAAAACAAATGGAATGATTCAAATTTAATAGAAGCAAACGAAAGCTTATTGAGCTTTTTCTTACTTTTCAACAATAAACTGAAATTAAATATCTTTCATGAACAACAAAAATTGACAAAATTACAAACCTAAAATTTGATATGTTTATTTTTTTTTTTGTTGAAAAATCTTTTTTATGATCAAAGACCAAATAAATGAATGAGTAAATTTTAGGATAAAATAAACAAAGTCAAATGATAAAATTGCTAAGCCTAGGCTGAGAATAATAAATTGCAATAATAACAGAAATAAGAATAAGTTGAATGACAAGTGAAACAAATTATTGATATGATTTTTATTCTATCCACATATAAAAGAATCTATTTCAACTTATCATAAAATATATCAAATTCTACGAATTGGTATTTATGATATTCGATCCAATTTATTTATTTCTTTCGTCGTTGGTTTTTGAAACCAGTTTACTAAGTTGACAAATGTTGGCATTAACTAACAGTTGTTAGAGTTGTAATTATTAACTATTACTATTGGACATATGTCATCAATTGTTTGTTTTCTTTGATATGAAAGACTTCTGAATCAAAAAAACACTTTAGAGCAGTATCATCGAAATTTCCGAAGGAAAATATTAATTCATTGATGGATTAATTTATATATCTAAATTTGCTAGGTGAATGAGCAATTTTAAATTCGATTGCTAGAAGTCAAATATTTTGTTGTAATCTTATCTCAAAGTCTGTTCACATAAACGATCCTAATCAATTTTATCAGTTAATCAGAAACACAATAATCTAATCAAGCATACCTTGAAAACTATTACACATTCATCAATATTATAGAAAGAAAAAAACAGGTTAAAAATTCGATTTCAGTAATTGATAAGTTGAAAAGAAAATTTTTAATTCATTAAAGTTATTTTAGGTTAATGAATGGGCTGAATGAGAAAAGAACAAAACTTTTGTTGTAATTTATTATTTAAAATAATTAATTGCTGTGATATAGATTGAATCAATCGAGATAATTAAAATTAGGACTATTTAGTCAGTTTAATAGAATTCTCCAGTGGAGAAATCAATAAACAATAGCCGTAGAATAACACGTCTACAAAAACTGGTGAAAGTAATAGTTTTTCCGAAACTGGTACAGATTATCGAATTTCTGAAACCAAGGCTCTTTATAATTTCACTGGTATAGGTTATGGTACTTCTTGGAGGAACAATGCTCTCCACAAATTTCTATGTTTATTAGTTTCTCTGTTACCAGACGTCATTTCGAACAATTTCATTTCACTTTCAAATTACAGATGGCACACTTATTGGTTATTCTATATAACCATCATTGTTGAATGTTAATTGGCTAAAAAGTGAAATGATTTCTTTATCTACCTTTTTTCAATTCACTGAGATAGGCTGAAATTATTTCTCATTTCGGTAATTTCAATTTACAAAAATTACCTGAATATTATTTGTTGCAAAAAAAAGAAATCGATGAAAAGTTAATGATTTCAGAATTGTTCAATAGGTTATCAATTGATATGATGATATCTTTGGATAAATTCTGAATTCTATATGATAAATATGAATTTTATATAATTCTCTAATGATATGATATATATGATAAATTCTATTACTTTTAGAATGTCTCTATCCTATATAATATATGAATTCTATAATGCATATCATTATATCATATATATTCATCATTACATTATATCATATATATATATCATTATATCAGATACATATCATATATATATATTATATATGATAAGTTCTACACTTTTAGAGTGTCTCTATAATATATGAATTCTATAATGATATGATATATGATAAATTCTTTTACTTTTAGAATGTCTCTATTCTATATAATGTATGAATTCTATATAATTCTATAATGATATGATATATGATAAATTCTATTACTTTTAAAATGTCTCTATTCTATATAATGTATGAATTGTATATAATTCTATAATGATATGATATATGATAAATTCTATTACTTATAGAATGTCTCTGTAAATAAAAAAAATTCGAAAGCTAATTAATAATTTCATTTTTTTAACAAAATAAATTTAATGTTAATTTGAAAAATATTTAATTTATCTTAAAGTTTTCGCTTCCTATTTTTTTTTCTGCTAAAATTTATTGTTTTAGTATATATTTTCTGAAATGTTGTAAGACTTTCATCAAAAGTTTGAAAAGAAAGCGAAAGTTTTACGTCAACAAGTCATTTTAACTGTTCAATGAATAAATGAATTTAAATTTTTATGTATAAAAATTTATGTAGCAAAACGAACTATGTGAATTATCTTTCAAACGAATATCACACAAAAACTTTTCCGAAATATCTATGTTAAAACTTTACTGTTAATACTTTAATGATTATCAAACAAATAAAAGTTTTGGTTGATATCCCTGGTAACATTAAAGATATCTATGTTAAAACTTTACTGTTAATAGTTTAATGATTATCAAACAGATAAAAGTTTTGGTATAAATTCCCTTATAATATTAAAGATATCTATGTTAAAACTTTACTGTTAATAGTTTAATGATTATCAAACAGATAAAAGTTTTGGTATAAATTCAACAAAATTATTGATATCCCTGATAATATTAAAGATATCTATGTTAAAACTTTACTGTTAACACTTTACTGATTATCGAACAGATAAAAATTTTGGTATAAATTCAACAAAATTATCAATATCCTTGGTAGCATTAATGACAATTAATAAAGGTAATAGCAACTAAAGGTAGAAGTATCATTGTTGACAGGATAAGGGAGGAACTAATAAAGCTGAATATTTGGTATATAAAATGAATGGTAAATTTGTTAATTATATTTAAAATTAAAATTAATTAATTCATTTACATTTATTTTTTAGACAAATTATTTACTTAACAATAGCAAGAATTACTTAACTTTCAAGTAAATAAGTTGCCTGAAAATAAGATGACAGTAGAAATTTGACGAATTTCATTTGACGATACGGAAAATTACTAAATTTCACTTTGTTACGCTTATTTGAAAAAATCATGATACTACACCACTACTCATTGAATTACAATATTGAAATAGTGAAGATGTGAAAAGTGATCAGGAAAAGTTGTGTGCAGAAAATGATTGATTGTTTTGCAAATAATGATAATTGATGAATTTAATAAAAAAGAGCCTCAATTTTTCAAGCCACGGTTTTTTGACAAGTTTGATTTCGGAAACAAATTTTCGAAATTGAACTGATAAGTAAGTTTCACTTCGAAAATGAAACTCTCTAATTCTTTCTTGATGACTTGCAGAAGGTTAAATTTTCTAAAAGGTTACAATCTAGCTAATGACAATTCCAAATAAGAAGAATGGTAGAAATGATATTGTAAATTCAGCACACTCTTATCTATGGCATATTCTATCAGATTAATGTTTTGTTTGTAATTCAGCATTTTAATATAATTCTATGATATGACCGTAATTTCCTATAGACAAATATATATATATGTATATTGGATATATTTCCTTTTATACAAATATTCACTAATATTCATTGATTCAGATAAGACAAACGATTTTGTTAATTGGATAGAATTTTAGATTGTTGATAATTTATGTTGTTGATAAATTTATCAGTTAATCATTCCAATTGATCGGCAAAATTGCAATCACTAACCAATGTGAATCAAATGGTATAGTAAAGTGTTGAGAGAATGCGAAAGAAGAGAAAGAGTGAATGAATTTTATCCTCCCATTGCTTTTTAGCTACTCAGAAAATCATTAGAAAACAGAAGACTTGAAAAGATCTATCTTTTATCAAAATTCATCAATTATCATTGCTTACCAACCAACTCAGTCATTTCAACTTCTCCTATCCACTTCTCTTATCTTCACTATTTCAACTTTTTTTTTTGTTGAATCATCGATTTTTTCCCAAAGTGAAATTGAGTAAAATTCATAGTTGTTGACAGTTTCTTTTTCAAAAAGTTTAAAAAAAAATTCTCCTATGAAATTTTTCATATTTTTCATTCATTCAATGATTCATGCACTTTTTTTTTTTTTTTGTAAAATAATCTATCTTTTATCAAATTCATCAATTATCATTGCTTATCAATAAGAGCAAAAAATTTTTAAATTTTTCAACTAAATGATACAAATTAAATGGAAATTTTATAAACAATGAAATCAATTTATTATTGCTACCAAATATTACGCGAAAATTTATTATTATATTGTTTTGAA